TATTGAACAGTTGTTCATTGGTAATTAACCTCATTATCTTAAAAGTCAATCAGTGTCTAAGCTAATTTTAATAGTTACACAAGTTGTTTTGAGTCAGTTTAACATAATATAGGTGCAATGGACTCATAAGGTTAATTTGATTCAGCTTAAAAATTTAAGATAACCAGGATTTATTTTTACAGTGTATGTACTTTAGTGCAGAGATTAGTCTACAGCACTACAGTGTTTACTACTGCTGTTAAAAAGCATTTTAAAATAATTAAATGAATAGTTAACAGTTGAATATATTTATTTTTAAAGCATCTTCCCAGATTCCACTATTATTGTATTCATTAGAAGTTACTCAATTTAAATAGCATGACCTGTAGTGTATGTATTAGTCAGCATTTGAAGTGCATCAGAGTTGTCCTATAGGACAAGAACAGTGTTTTGATGCCAACTTTGATGAAAGGTTTTGATCCACTTGAAATGCTGACTATTGTATACCAGTTGGTACATTACGCATGTTATAATTTTGGTGGTCAGATGGGTTGTAAATTACCTAAATCAATTAAAATGACTTAAAGTTAAGCAAAAGTGAAATTTAAGCATTTTAAATGCACACAAAAATATTGTGGCTTTAGACTACTAGCTACAGTGGCTGTAAGCAAAAATGTTAATGTCGAGCCCTGGTTATGTATTATTAATGTATATTTCCATACATTTCCTTAATAGAACTGCTTAACATTAAAATCTACATATGAATAAATCAATAAACCATATCAATGTGGTCATGTCATTGGCCCATGAACATTTCCTGCTTGTTGTCAAACTGTTTCAGAACTTTAACAAGAGGCAATTCAATCATAACATTAAAACAATTATCATAACATTATTTATCAATATCTTGGAAGCTATGGAAATGAAAAATGTAAAAAAGGAACTACGTTACAGGAACATTGGCATTGCTTACATCCCTCAAAATGATCTATAATGTATTTGAAGTTAAATAGGCTTACACATAAAAAATAAAAAATAAAACAATGTTACTTGTAAGTGAGATGTATTAGTCTTTTAGCAGATTAGTCTATTCGCAGATTAGCCTTAACATCTAAAAACCATGGTGTTAAATTGCTGTTCAAATAAAATGTTGCTCAAATATGGACAAACTCCAACTTTGAGTGTTTTTTTTTAGTTTAGTTCTTTTTTTCTTAGATTCAACTTTATTGTCATTATTCATGTACAAGGCAACCAAATGCAGTTTAGGTCTAACCAAGAGTGCAATAGCAGCAAGTGTAGGATACAGGTATAAGTTAAAAAGTGCAGTTATAGAAAAACTATGAGTAATATTTACAGATGGATGCACTATTAACATTACATACAGGTTGTATTAACTATGAAAATAGATTTACAATGGATGAATATATTTACAGGTTGTACAGTAGGTATGTACAATTCAATATGATGATAATTTCTAAATTATTTCAGATTATTACACGCTCTCTGTAACAGTTGATTCTGATTGGTCAATCAAAACATTCAAAGGTATGTTTTTCCCAGATAACATTGTGAAACTCATAATACAGGCTCCTCCGGGTACTTAAAATGATGTTGACCATCACTGAGAATTTATATGCATATTTCTATGATTTGTATTTATGCTGCTGAGACGTTTAGACGTTAGAAATTTTTCTTTTTGCAAGCTTTATGTTTAATCAAAAAGTTAGCTATAAATTCTGAAAGCTATAAGAGTTCTTTATTATAAAAGTGGTATACGTACATAAGGAGGTTGTAAACGTGCATACGCCACTTCCAATGCAAAGGTTGTGATCTATGAAAAAACAAACTTGACATGAAAATGTGCGCAGCTGTAAGTAAACTCTCAGTAAACACATTTAACTTAAATTTTGACTTAATTGAACCACTTTAAATCATCATATGAGCCGTAATCGTTATTAATAATAATAAACATTATTCTTATTCAATTCGTAATTATTCAGTCTCACACGACTGCTGATAAGCATGTTGGGCTTTATTCTGTGAGAACCACTGCCTATATGTACTTTATCCCTACTAAATATTTTAATCCAACAGTTAGATTTGTCCAAATTTGGTGTAAAACAACCCAGAATATTTTAAGTGCATGTTAGTCAAGCAGTGCATTTTAGAAATAAAGCATTTGCATTTATCCTGGCTAATGGGATTCAGTGTATGAACTTCAATTGACTCACCTTTTGAACTGTTGAATTTGATGCTTTTTTGGGTTTGGATTCCTAAATAGTTGACGTGACAGGTGATTGTGTCTCCTTCACTCCAGTCAGGTTTGCACAGCTGCAGTTCACTACTATTGTCATTAAATGTGGACACATGTGGTAACATCTGACCTCCTCGACTCCAGTTGAAGTTGGCCAGCTCAGAGTCAAGAGAGCAGAGCAGATGAACACAGCTGTCATTAGTGCTGTTCAGTGGCTTCAGGGACAGACCTGGACATTAGATTCATCAAGGTAAGATAATGGTCAACAAACAGACAGTTCAGAATCACTAATGAACAGCAAAATCACCTGCGACTTGGAGATTCAGAGATGAGCTTTCGTCCACTGACGGAGGTGGAATTACTATTGTTGTTTTACAGCTGTATTTACCAGAGTGACCAGGCTGAACATTTTTGATCTCTAATCTAATAGGCTTACTGGTTAATGTAAAATGAGGAAAGCAGTATTTTAAGGGAGATACAAGGGAGTTGGACATATTAATGTTCCATGTACAAATAAAATTGCTACTGGTTGTATTGATGCTCCACTCTACTGTAACTAGTTGACTCTCTACAGGAGGTAAATGGCAGGGCAGATGGACAGTCGCTCCTTCCACTGCTTTGATAACTTTCTCCGCATCTGTGGATTGACAAATTTCAATGTAACAAACACCAGAATGCTCCCTTCAGACAATTCAAAACATACATCACACTTTTTTGTAAAATACATCACAGAAAACCAACCAGACATAAAATGAATATTCTTGTCACCGAGACCTTAGTTTATTATTAGTTGTTATTTGTAATGTACATCATGACATCACCTGCAGCTTCTTTGCTTTAACTAAAAGAGCACAGTAAACACAAAAAAATAAAGTATATTACCTGTATTTGGAAGATGAATTAAAGTCCAAAAAAAAAGATAGTCTGTAATCCGTTTCAAAACCATGTTGATGTGCTCAGCGTTTGTGACTCTTCTGCACACGTACGCTCACATTCTGAGTGATGAATTTCCTGTCCATGTGCCCTCCCACCATCTCGATCACCAGAGAAGATAAACTGAAGAACACTTCTTTCGTTGGTCAAACTGTTTAATTTGTACACACTTAAATTGCAAATCACCATCAATGTTTTGCACCATTGACAGAGTACTGTGTTTACAGACATTTCTGTGAGTAAAGCATATTGTTCCGTGAAGACACCGTTCACTGGTTGCATTTGTTGTTGTTCATTCGATGGCATAGAGGAAATGAAAATTAAAAAGGGCTGATAGCAAAAGCGTGTTGCTTTCATATATGGAAAGGCTAAAACTTGGTGTCTGTTGGCTGTTTTTTTTTCTTTCCTTTTTTCAAAGGTTCTGCTTTCCATGTAAAAATCATACACAACACACTGGGAGACTACAGTATTTCACAATCTACTCTGAATAACCTCCCACTGGTGCAGACAGAAGAGTCATGCACTTAATGTTTTGAGGGGGCTCCAGTGACAGTTATAGCATGATCTTTTGAGATTGTGGGCCGTGATTATGTGAAGGTGGTGTAGGTTTAGTTGTGTGCAAATGAGCGAGGCTTATTAGAAGAAAAGCATGCTTAGTAGAAATGAAATGCAGCTAGACACAATTATATTTAGATCATTTACCCAAGCAAGATATTATTAACTTATGCATAAAGCCATATTCTGCAACTCTCTCATCTTGCGCCAATTAGTGGTTCATAATTTCCGTATCATGTACTGATGAATAGATATTCTATAATATGGACACCAAAATTAAAAATAAATGACTATACCTTACCTCAGTGTTTTGTAAACCTGATGCAGATGTATCTGTTTATGCTGTAAGGCTTGAAAAGTGGATATATAAATAGGAATAAATGGATATATAATACATTTTAGTATTATTACTTACCATGGTTTTGCCACACTATCAAGTTTAACTATTTGTCGTATTAACGTGGTTATACAAATGGAATTTAATGCAGATAACTATGGATACAACAATTTTACTATGTAAAAACCATGGGTAACCTACATAAGGCATCATAATATGGTATATACGGTAACATGTTAATTACCCAGCAGACATAGGATGTCAACATGATGTCAGATTGATGTTGAACTCCAATGTCGTGGGGACGTTGCATTTTGTTTGGAAATAAAGATCGAGGCCAATGTCAAATTGCAATGACCAACCAAAAATCAACCAAATATCGACGTCTAATGATGTTACAGCTTGTGTTGATGTTACCACAATGACATCTATCAGAATTTGGATTTTGGTTGCCATACCTGATGAATAAATGTCAGTATTTAATGTAATTATGACGTTGCTTTAAAATGTTGGCTTGACGTTGGTCCTTTTCCAAGAACCTAAAATAAACGTCATTTGACGCCATTATTGGATGTCAAAACAAGGTTGTCCTTAGACACTGGCTAAACACTGAATTTTGGTCACCTGACGTCAAGACCTAAATCTAATCCAATATCAATGTCTTCATTGTGTGCCTGCTGGGTCATGTAGCTAAATAGCTTTTAATCAAACTGACTTTAGCTCATTATCTTAGTACTCATAACTGCATGAAAATATAGTATATGCCAATTCACAGTCAACAAATAACTGAATAGGTTTTCATACCAACATCACTTTAATATTGTGACATAATTCCAACTAAAAGAAAATAATATTTTATTGTCACCATTAGCAGTATTACGATCACAGGTGTTAAAGGGACAGTTCAAGCTAAAATGATATTCTGTTATCATTTACTCACTCTTACTTGAGTTCCTTCGCCTATTAAACACATAAGACATTTAAAAAAAAAAAAGTTTCACAAATACTATGAAAGCCATTGACTTTCATAGTATTTATTTAGCATTTTTTTTTAGCTTTCATCAAAATATCTTCCTTTTTGTTCAACAGAAGAAAGAAACTAATAAAGGTTTGAAAGCACTTGAGCGAGCGTAAACAGTGAGTGCATTTTCATTATTGGGTGAACCATTGCTTTATGGACAAACTGTCAAAATTAAGCACATTAGTCAGATTTTGATGTACAATTACCTAACTAAATTTTTTTATTAACCCAATTGGAATAACTGTAACAATCAAATGATCTTATTGCTATTATTTTATTTTGTTAACATAACCTTCAAAACAGGTTTACTTGAACAAGTATTTTAACATTAACAACAAGAAAAGCTTTCATTGTACATATAGTAAATGTTCAAAAAGACATGTTAAACAAAATTACAAAAGGATTTTAAAGTTACAACATTAACTTTACAGTAAATACTACATTAGTAAACATAAACAGTGAGAAATAGCCACATTTGCAGAGAAATTATGGTAATGTTAGTTTAAAAAATACAACTGAACTTTTTTGTTAAGCATCAACTAAGAAATGAACATCACAGTTATTAAAAGCTGACTAACAAATGGAAACTTACTGTGAAGTGTGTACATGATGACAGAACTTTTATTTTAGCAAGCTTGTAAAGAACCCTGATGGACACTATATTTAGAGCACCAAGTTTAACAACAACTTTAGCTTTCATTTTATTCTTAAGTTTCTCATCTGTGAAACAACAAATCCTCATAATTTAATGATACTCATTACATATAACAGAAGTTATTCATGATCACTGAGCTGATTTTAACAGCAAAGTCAATGAAAATCAATGTAAATCTTTGGAAATGACTCAACACAAAATAGCCAATTTTAAAGAAAGCAGCATAGGTTCATTCTGAAAACATATTCATATACACATTTCTGGAGATCACAAATTATGTAGCCAGAGGAATGGGAGGATTGTTTTTCAGCTGTTACTAGTTTGTTCAGTGGCTCGCCGCTTATGTCGGGGGATTTAAGAGGAAGAGTTGACTGGTACGACGGGGTTTGAGTCCAGCGAAGAACGATTCCAGAAAGCAGGTAAGACAAAAACAAAAGTTCAAAATGGGTGTGTGGGGGGATCAGTCGGTTAGTAAGTCAACAGCAGCATCTGGGGCCTCATGGATCAACGTTGCATACGCGGATTTACTAACGATGAAATGACGCGAGAATGTGCATTGATCCATGCCAACTTTATGCCTGGCTTACGTGCATTTCTTGTGTGTGTTTGTTTTATTTCCATTGGCGACTCCTAGAGGCAATTATGATCGACTGCACGGACATTGCTATAAAGACGCCATCTGAAGACGAATTTGCATACATGAATCAGAAACATTTCCATTCAATAAATGTGCAAAAAATATGCGATGCTCAAATGCGCTTAACATAATACACACTTATTAATGATTCCTACTTGTCTTCCTCGTGATGAAGAGTAGGCAAAATCTGATATGTAGTGGGGAAAAAAAGAATGAGTTCATCAGACGCTGGATTCAAACTGAGTTCATGATCAAATGTGTAAAAACATGCTGCCATGTGCTTTACGAGCTACGCCACTCACACTGCTATATAGACACTACAACATTTTACACCTTTACATCAGACCATTTCTTTCTTAATCCGCTCAGTGCAATGTTCAGACCCCACTGTGTTAACCATCTCAGCTAATCTCTCCCACTCTATTTTTTTCTTTTGTTATTAATTCTGGAAAAAAAACTTGCAAATAACATTGTTTTTCTCAGGTCTACCTCCGAAAGGAGCACCTCCAATTCACATTCTGTTCAAAGTTTCTCTTTTTTCTTGCTTTTGCCATTGCTGTTTCCTTTGGTTTTGCCAAAGTAGAGTCATTAGCATATTCATATGGAGGAGGAGGCAGGGAGGGGTTTACGCTCGTGCACGTGTGCTCAGTTTCACGTTACTTCGATTGTACAAAGAGAATATGCATGAGATTCCGCGTACACAGTGTCTCATACATCTAGATTTTTTACTGCATGCGCACATTTACAGTTTTGTGCGTATCCAATGTTTTAGTATGATTTCAATGCAAGTCTTCGTACATGAAGCCCCTGATGGATTTACGTGAGAACAGCAGGCGCAAATGGCACTCGTGAGAGAAACTTGAGATCTCAAAACACAGTGGCCTTTGATAGATATGGGAAAACAAAAACTGAAAAAAAAAATCTAGCTCCTGGAATGTATTTGGCGCTCTCTAGAAATGTATATAAGGGTATGTAATCAGACTAAGCCTGGGTTGAATAAAAGGGTAGTCTAAAGGGTCATGGTAAAACTTAAAGTATAACTAGTTTAAAGTAACTTGCTAAAGGACGAAGAGGGATCTTACTGGGTTGAGTGTTTTGTCTTCCTTCTTCTGATGTTGATGGTTCAGGACGGCAGGTCTGAGATTTGTCTGCAGAATGACACAAATAAAATACATAAAATACATACATAACATAAAAAGACCTCGCTTTTGTAGAATGTTGAAAGAATGTGAAATGATGCTGGAGTACAGAACGTAAAGGAACTTTAATAATATAATATAATATAATATAATATAATATAATATAATATAATATAATATAATATAATATAATATAATATAATATAATATAATAATGTATTTATTTGGTAAAGTAGATATCTGTGGAGAACTTACATCGTAAAATGTAGAGCAAGATCCAGATGAAACTGATGCAGAGGATGAAGACGCTCAACAAAGCCACAAAAACAGCTGGAAAATCCTGGTATCCTGAGCAAGACGGACCACAGGTATCATTTGTATTTGTAGTACATATAAAGTCAATTGAACCACTTTCATGGCACTCACTGCATTTCAGAATCATTTCTGAACAGCAAAATTACCTGCAACTTGGAGAATCAGAGATGAGCTTTCGTCCACTGACGGAGTTGGAATTACTCTTGTTGTTTTACAGCTGTATTTACCAGAGTCACCAGGCTGAACATTTTCTATCTCTAATCTAATAGGCTCAATGGTCAGTTTAAAACGATGAAAGCAATCTTTCAAGGGAGATACAGAGTTGTGATCAATGCTCCATGTACAACTAGAACTGTCACTGGTTGTATTGATGCTCCACTCTACTGTAACCTGTAGACTCTCTTCAGGAGGTAAATGGCAGGGCAGATGGACAGTGGCTCCTTCCACTGCTTTGATTACTTCCTCTGCATCTGTGGATTGATACATTTCAGTGTAATAAACAACAGAAAGCTCTTTGCAGCTTTACACTCACACACACACACAAACACACTATATTATATATATATATTATTGCACAACACATTTTAGAATGTACTACATACACACAGACACTTTTAAGCTCATCGCTTTTTATATTCAAATTAAAGGACATGAAATCAGAGCGTAAATCCCTTACCTACATGAGAGAACCAAATTAAAGTTAAAATTATCAGCTTTTTTCTAACCCGTTTTAAAAGCATGTCGACCAAACAGTTCTATTAGCTGCTCTTAGCGGTTGTCACTCTTCTTGATGCATACACAGATTGTGAGTAATGAATTTCCTGTCATACCTTTCACACTTCAGCCAGAGATATATTTATTTATATATATATATGAGAGATATAAAAATCCTTCTACTGCCCAAACAATATTTTGTTAAAATGAATCTTTGTGCTTGATCTATTTCTATCAAAACATGTATATTGTATGACATTTATAATGTATGAATACTATTATATCACGTTTAAAATGAAGCTTTAAATTTAGTGTTAAATGAAGTTCTTCCCAGATTTCTTTCTTTAGGCCCCTTTGAAGAGCCAATAAGAATATGCATTTTAATGAGCGCTGCTTACTGCGTTTCTTTTTAAGTGCACTAGTCATGACTAGTTCACATCATAATAAATATTACCATATTGTTTTTTAAAAACTTAACAAAGCCTGCAAGATATAAGATCCTGACATTGAAAAAACAAATAAATAAATAAATATATATATAATTAAATTAACAAATAATTTAATAAATAATGTATAATACTATTGTTAATAATAGTAATATTAACAAAATATATTTTTAGGCCACCACATTGTGGAGGTCCTAGCCCGACTCCATGTGCACCACATGTCCCTTAATGCTGAGATTTTTCTTTCATCAAACATCAGTTTAAATTCTAGGATTCATCATCAATGAACACAGTGTGAACACAGTGTCAACCGACAAAGAGCTCCAGAGGTTCTTAGGGTTTGCAAATTTTATAGCAGATTTATAGCTGATTACATTTCATAACTAGTCATCTTACTTGTCTCCTCAGGGGAAAGCTCTAATCCCTGGCCTAGAATAAGGATGCTGAGAAAGCCCTCCAAATCCTGAGGAAAGCATTCAGACAGGCTCCTCTCCTAATACACTCCAACCCAAAACTTTGTTTTGTGGTGGAGGTCACCTCTCCCTGAGTATAAAATTTACCCCACATTCCATGTTTCACTGCTAAAACCCTTTCACTCACCCATCTCTGTCTCCACGAAACCTGGTCCCAGCCAAGAACCTCCTCCCTTCCTATGCTCATAAATAAAGATGCAGTTCATCAGGTTGGAGAGATCTTGAAGGGGACTAATCAAAAATACTTTAGAATAAGCAAGCATAAAAGCGGCCATCTAAAAGTATTAGTCAATTACCTCTGTTTAATAATCAAGACTGACAAGAGTGTCAATCACCATCGGCCAAGGCGATTCCTCTGAGCGACATGATCACTCGAATGAACAAATTTAATAGTTAAGAGTGAAGACAAAAGGTTTAAACATTAATCTAAATTATATATTAATATAATCTTCTAAATGTTTTAGATTAGAGTCAGACAAAACGAAAGATAAATATATTAATATTCTAAACCACCTCATATTAAAATTTGAGTCAAATTTCAACTAAAATGACAGAAAAAAAACATACTGGAAAAGGCGAACACGCAGTGAACCTTCATCCACCAGTAGACACCTTCATTGGGCCAAATGGGTGGACCTTACATGAGAAATGTGTTACTGTATATTGGGAAGATGAAGACATTAAATCTTCCAATAATCTGTCTTTATCTAAAAATCTTTATCTCTGATCAGAAATCATCAGAAATATTTTCTGTAAAATATTGCCCAACCCTAAAGGTATCCCTATAAAGCATTGATACTCAAACATGGTCCTGGAGGGCTGGTGTCCAGCAGATTTTAGCTCCAACTTGCCTAAAAATACCTGCAAGGATGTACAATGTCTAGTACAGTGCCGCGAAAAGGGCCGGGATTAAACAAGATAATTAGACATTTAAAAAAGTATGCGATTGGTCCAAATTTTACATTTCTGGACAGAGAGGTCATGTTTTGATCTTCAATTGGTCTTACGCAGCTAAGTGATGTGATTTCGTAGGTCGTCAGAGTTAGTAAAGTCTAGATGGGATATGTTGCCAGCTGGATATGTGATTTGCACATCAATATACAGTATCAGCATTTTTATGACACTTTATAACAATAATTAATATTTTTACAGTACTGTGATGGTTGGGGTATGGGCGTTAAAAAATACTATTTATTGAGTAATTCAAAAGATATATAAACTATACTGGTATACAACTACTGCTTTTACATTACTGTGAAGGTTGGGTTTAGGGTAGGGGTAGACGTTAATAAAAAACAATAAATGGGAAATTTAGTAAAGTAATATAAATAATTCTTGTTAACTTCCAGCCGCAAACATATTCGATCTAGCAATAACCGTCAGAGTTCACTAAGCTTGAACTTTGCACCGTAGCAAACTGTGAAAGTTGTCGCACAAGCTTGCATTTCCAGTCTGACGCATTCCCGTGTGTATGAACAGAATTGTATGGGAAGAAAAGTCCAGTGTGACCACTGCGTAAGAGCTTCATTAGGTAGCCTAGGTGTGTCTGATTGGGGTTGGAACTAAACTTTGCAGGACACCGGCTCTCCAGGACAGAGTTTGAGAACCTCTGCTATAGAAAAAACACTGAAGCTCATAATTGTAATCATAATTGCGTTTAGCTGTGATATATGCTAATTCTAATAACAATAAACAGGTTTGTGAACAGGTTAAAGTTTTTCTATCAACATCACTTCAGTATTATAACATTTCCAACAGATACGGCCAGACTTTTATTTTGGCACATACACACCTTAATCATCAGAAAAATAATGATTATTAAGGACTAGCAGTCAAACTGAAGCACATTTTTCAGATTTTGATTAAAAATGCTTGGAAAACTGTCACAAGCACACACATACACACACAAGTTATGCTTTTATTGTAAATAAACATTTGAAGTTAATAAATGTTTCATCAAAAACAAAACTGCATAATGATTAGAAAAAGCAGACTTTACAGCAAGATACTCAGCAAAGACACTCATTAGATAATACGGTATACATTAAGAAACAGCAACATTTGTCACAGAAGGTATGTTAATGCTAGCTAAAAAAACAAGCTAAACATTTTTAGTTCAGCATTAACTAAGAAATTAGAATCAGCTAAGATTATTGAAAGCTAAATAAAGTCAACATATGGAACCTTACTTGGATGTTCATGACAGAAGGAACTATAACTAGGAAAAAAACATATTTAGAGCAAGTTACACAACACCTGCAGCTTACATTTTGTTTTATTGTTATAAATAAAATTTCTTAAAGGGTCTTTATCAGTGACAAAAAATCTTTAATGTAATCCTCCAAACATTATGTAAAGATTTTTTTTAAATTACTGCTTGATTTTAAGTCAATTAAAATTAATTCAAATTTTTGTAAAACACAAAACAGCTATTTTTAAGAAAGCATAGTCTAAAGCAGGGGTGTCAAACTCAGTTCCAAAAGGGCCGAAGCCCTGCACAGTTTAGTTCCAACCCTGCTCCAAAACACTTACCTGTAGGTTTCAAACAAGCCTGAAGGACTCAATTAGTTTGATCAGGTGTGTTTAATTAGGGTTGGAACTAAACTGTGCAGAGCTGCGGCCCTTTTGGAACTGAGTTTGACACCTTTGGTCTAAACGGATCATAAGAAAAGTTAAAATAAATGAAGATTTAATCAATTTAAGGTAAACTAAGAGACTTGATTAACGATCACGACTCGAGGGATCTTATTGCATTGAATGTCCACAACAGCAGGTCAGAGTTTTGTCTGTAAAATTATTATATTTATTTTAATTATTTCAATTAATTAATCAAATTCAATCTTTATTTCATATATATATAACTTTTTACAGTGTAGGTTGTGTTAATGGAGAAAAGAGAATAAAAATCCATAACAATATTTAATATTTTTGTAATTGTCCAGCAAATCAGGCAGGCAGGAGAGCAGTGGTAGAATGCTGGTGTGGCTCTAGTTAATTTAAAACTGATAGAGTTCAGTTTAGTATAAATGTTCAGATCATTGCCCAGGTAGGAAATAATTCTGGCCCAGATTTGGCATAAATCTAGCACAACTGGCATTCATCCGGCACTGGCATACAGCATGTGGGACAAACATGGCCCTGGTTTGGCAGATGTGGCACCGTCTTTAAGGCGGCACACAACACTTGAGCCAGATGTAAAATGTAGTATTTGGGCCAGATGTTAATAATTGAAATGTGGGCCATGTAAGTTTGGCCTATCTTGACCCACATTTAAAATATTAGTTTTTATTATTTTCAAATAAAAAAAATATTTTTAGCAATCATGAAAAAAGCACGCCCAAGCATGCCGTAAGCACAATGAATCATGTTTTTTTTTTTTCAATTTCATTGCAGTGGTGACACCAAAATCTCTGGCCCAGTTCAGGCTCAGTTATTAATTTAGTTGAGACTTGGCCCAGATATGGTCCATGTTTGGCCCTTGTCTGGAAGCCAGACTTGGTCCATTCATTCAAGCAAAAGCTGATTGTGTGGGCCAGAGATATTATACTATGTGGGTGTAATGCAAATGTAACTACTGAAGGACGATCCACTGAAGAGCAGCTCCACTGATGCACAGCTCCACCAGTCTCAGGCAAACCATATAATATAATATAATTAATATAGTATAATATAATATAATATAATATAATATAATATAATATAATATAATATAATATAATATAATATAATATAATATAATATAATATAATATAGTAAAATATAATATAATATGATATAATAAAATTTATATAATATAATATAATATAATATAATATAATATAATATAATATAATATAATATAATATAATATAATATAATATAATATGGCGACGCAGTGACGCAGAAGGTAGTGCTGTTGCCTCACAGCAAAAAGGTCACTGGTTCAAATCTCGGCTGGGTCAGTTGGCGTTTCTGTGTGGAGTTTGCATGTTCTCCCTGTGTTTGCGTGGGTTTCCTCCGGGTGCGGTACAGGTGAATTGGGTAGGCTAAATTGTTCGTAGTGTATGAGTGTGAATGAGTTCCCAGAGATGGGTTGCGGCTGAAAGGGCATCCGCTGCATAAAAGCGTGCTGAATAAGTTGGCAGTTCATTCCGCTGTGGCGACCCTGGATTAATAAAGGCACTAAGCCGAAAAGAAAATGAGTGAATGAATGAATGAATAATATAATATTTTAAATCATTCATGTATTTTTTTTACATCTGTGGATAACTTACATCGTAAAATGTAGAACAATATCCAAAAAATGCTGATGCAGATGATGAAGACGCTCAACAACACCACAAAAACAGCTGGGAAATCCTGGTCTCCTGAGAAAGATGGACTGTGGATTACTCTTATGGAATGTTTGATTTATACTTTTTTTTAATAATTAAATAATTTAAAGAAAAGCCTTTAAAGTCAATTGAACCCCTTTCATGGCACTCGTGACCCTGGATGAACTGATTCAGTGTATATGTTTTTCTATTGACTCACCTCTGTTAGCATTTTCTGATCTGCTGAATTTGATGCTTTTTTGGGTTTGGGTTCCTGAGTAGTTGACGTGACAGGTGATTGTGTCTCCTCCACTCCAGTCAGGTTTGCACAGCTGCAGTTCACTATTATCAGCATTAAATGTGGACACAAGTGGTAACATCTGACCTCCTCGGCTCCAGGTGAAGTTGGCCAGATCAGAGTCAAGAGAGCAGAGCAGATGAACACAGCTGTCATTAGTGCTGTTCAGTGGCTTCAGGGACAGACCTAGACATTAGATTCATCAAGGTAAGATGATATTCAACATACAGACAATTCAGAATCACTTATGAACAGCAAAATCACCTGCGACTTGGAGAATCAGAGATGAGCTTTCTTCCACTGACGGAGGTGGAATTAATGTAGTTGTTTTACAGCTGTATTTACCAGAGTCACCAGGCTGAACATTTTTGATCTCTAATGTAACAGGCTTACTGGTTATTGTAAAATGAGGAAAGCAATCTTTCAAGGGAGATACAAGGGAGTTGGACATATCAATGCTCCATGTACAAATAAAATTGCTACTGGTTGTATTGATGCTCCACTCTACTGTAACCTGTAGACTCTCTACAGAAGGTAAATGGCAGGGAAGATGGACAGTGGCTCCTTCCACTGCTCTGATAACTTTCTTTGCATCTGTGGATTAAAAGATTTTGGACACACAAATCCTATTTCATCATTTTATTTTTAAACGTCTATGCCAGAAATGAAATGACTTTGTTTGACATAAATATAGTATAACATTTTATAACAGCAGAATAACCCATGTAAATGCCTATTATATTACGTTGATTGAACAAAAGATTGCAGAAAAAACCTATCATATACAGATGTGGCCACTGATAACGTTTGCTTTTGAACTCATGATGCTTTTAAACCCATCACTGGGAACATGTAGGCAGACCTTAAATCTTTAACCTGTTTGCGAGAGACGACTTTAAGGCAAGGCAAGGCAAGGCAAGTTTATTTATATAGCACATTTCATACACAATGGCAATTCAAAGTGCTTTACATAAACAAGAATAAAAGAAACAAGTAAAATAAAAATAAAAACAAATAATAAAAATGCGTAAAAACAAAACAAAACATAAAAACAGGTAAAATGTGATATAAAAGAATGAAGAAGAAGAGAAAAACATGATAGTGCAATCTGTCGGACGCAGCACAGTGCTCATTCAGTAAAGGCACAACTAAACAGATGTGTTTTCAGTCTTGATTTGAATGTGCCTAATGTTGGAACATCTGATCATTTCTGGAAGCTGATTCCAGCAGCGAGGAGCATAGTGGCTAAAAGCCGATTCACCCTGCTTTGGCTGAACTCTTGGAACTTCTAGTTTATATGATCCTAATGATCTGAGTGATCTGTTAGGTTTGTATTCAGTGAGCATATCTGTGATGTATTTAGGTCCTAGGCCATTTAGTGATTTATAGACCAGTAATAATACTTTAAAATCTATTCTGAATGTAACTGGCAGCCAGTGTAAAGACCTGAGGACAGGTGTGATGTGCTCTGATTTTCTGGTTCTGGTTAGAATTCTGGCTGCAGCGTTCTGGATGAGCTGCAACTGTCTGACTGTCTTTTTAGGAAGACCAGTGAGGAGTCCATTACAGTAATCCACCCTGCTGCTGATAAAAGCATGAACAAGTTTCTCTAAGTCAAAAATACATCCTTTTAAGTAACCTGTTTTAAATAAATGTTGACCAAATACGTCTATTAGCTGTTGTTAGGGATCATAAAACTACTGCAAACTTTCACACACGTTGAACTTCCTGTCACCACCTTACATACAACCCAGATCAATATAAGACAGTTTTACACAAAATGTGCTTATGTAAGGCATTTTGTAATAATAATAGTTTAATTTGATCTAGAAGTTTTTCCAACACATATTGCTTTCAATTGGCGCTATAAAGAGCCAGTGAGAATATGCGGTTTAATCATCTCTGCTTTTTATTTCCTTAAGAGTTCTGTCATTTTTGCTACTAGTTCACATCAGTAACAATAATATATCAACAGAAGTACCTAAATGCTGTTGTGTACAATGTGTTTTTAGTTTTTTTAAACCTTACCAAAGATGTTAGATGCAATATGTTAGACGCAAAAAACAAATAGACAAGTGAATAGATGATAAATGAATAACAAATGTATAAAGGTAATGTTAATAATACTAATATTAAAATAATAAATACTATTTATATAAAAATTTATTAAAATATTTCTAAGTACCTAGCCCTTTCAAAGCATGCTTTCATATGGAATCTTATGAAAAGGGATGTATTTAGCACCCAAATGGGCTCTGCTATTGCTATTTACACTGTAAAACCCATTAAGTTAAGGTAACTTGAACGGTTTAAGGAAACCGATTGCTACAAAACATCTAAGTTCAAAAACTAATCTAAATCAGTACTGTGAACTTACTCCATTTAAGTTAATGTAATGAAGTATTTAATTTATGCATTACCTTCAACACTGAGTTCAAAACTCTTTTAAGATGAGTAGAATTAACTTTCAGTAAATCTTGAGTTACTACACTCATTTCATTTAATAAAGTTGACTGTTGGGTTTTAAATCAAAATACTCTATTTATAAAACAAAATATATTTTATAGTTAATAAAACATAATAATTGAACAAAACAAACATAACAAAACAATTGAAATTATGAACAAAATAATAAATAAAATTTAATTTTCGGCTCTACAAAACCGACCACAGATGGTGTTGGGACTCTATTGTATAAAGTGTCCTGAAAATGAATTTGAAAATTGGAAATGTGCATTGCAGCACATCTGTCTGCTGTAATAATGGATTGTTTCACCGAAAAACTGGGAAATGGGTTGTTTTAAATCAGTTTTGAGTCAAACATAGACACACTTTTTTTTGGGTTGAAAATGCAATTCAATTTACAGTAACCCGATGGTTGAGGTTGTCCATGTTAGACCCAAGATTGTGTTGAAAACAATACAGATTTTTATTTTTTGGTGTAGAATTATATGTACAGTTGAAATCAAAATTATTACAACGCCCTCGTGTGATTATTTTTCCTCAAATGTTTCTCAAATAATGTTTAACAGAGCAAAGAACTTTTTATCGTATTTCCCATAATATTTTTTTTCTAGTGGAGAAAGTCTTATTTGTTTTATTTCAGCTAGAATAAAAGCAGTTTTTATTTAAAAAAATTAAATAAAACTAAGGTCAAAATTATTAGTCCTCTTACGCACTTTTTTTTTTGTGATTGTCTAAAGAATAATGACTTGCCTAATTAGTTTTAAGTTTTAAAAATTGCACTTTAAGCTGACTAGTACCTTGAAAAATGTCTAGTAAAATATTATTTAGTCAAATTATTAATATATTTATTAGAAATCAGTTATTAGAAATGAGTTATTAAAACTATTATGTTTGAAAATTGTTGAAAATAATCTTCTCTTCGTTAAGCAGAAATTGGGGGGGGGAAATATATGATGTTCAGAAGACATTTGACCAGAACATGCTTTTTTAAATAATTAATTTTTAAAGAAATGATCAAATAATCAATGGATTTCACAGAGATGCCACAGAAAAACCATGCACTTCAATTTAACCATAAAGGCCAATAAAGAAGCATTTTTGAAGAGGACAACACAACCCAATGTCTTATTAAGAATTACAAAAAATAAAAAAAAATAAAAATAGATTAGATTCGATTAGATTAGAGTCACTTACCATCACACTCAAACAGCCCGAAGCTGGAAAAAGTATAAATGAAATGAACAGCAAGTAAAAACATCCCAATCGCTGCGTGTCTGTGCTTCAAATGTTCCTCACTGTCTAACATTTCAATTGACAATGAAAGGCGGTACCTGAGCATCAGTGTGTGCGCTACTAACTCTAGCCTATAAATAATAACCACTGCTCTAGTGCTTTTGTGAATTAGTTATCTTAAATGTAGAATTTACAAAGTATAATAGTCATAATAATATGAAGAAAACAGAAGAAATATTCAACATAAAAAAATAATTTTAGCATATGTTATATTATATATCTATATATAAATTGAAAGATTTATTTAATGTAAATTTATAAGGTCATTTATTATTATTTTTTCATCAGGGGTCGCCACAGCGGAATAAACCACCTATTATTTTTATATTTAATAATAATAATAATAACTTGTATTCTCAACCCAGATATTAATCTACATGCTAGATAACATAATAATAAAAATCATAATAAATAAAATTACATAATAATAATAATAATTATAAAGTAAAACTGTAATCATTTTTAATGCGTATTGCTTTTTGGTAATCCTACTATAAATTATGGACCTCAAATTAATGCAATAATAATTTTATAATATATAATATTTTATTACAAAAATACATTTTTAATGAACTCTTTTATTATCATGCATATTTTGTTTACAATCCTCAGAGTAAATATCAAAACAATACTGTAAAAACTACTTAATATTAACAAGTTAAAATATATATTTTTTAATATTCTTCAGTTAAAAAAAACGACAACATGAAAAATGATACGTTATAAACTATAAGATACCAACATCTGTGACTAGGCTTTAAATATATACTCACTGGCCACTTTTATAGGTACACATTACTAGTACTTGGTTGGACCTTTTTTGCCTTCATAACTGCTTTCTCCATCGTGGCATAGATTTAACAAGGTACTGGAAATATTCCTCAGAGATTGTGGTCCATACTGACATGATGGCAAAACAGTTGCTGCAGATTTGTCAGATTCCCACTTATGATGCGAATCTCCCGTTCCACCACATCCCAAAGGTGCTCAATTGGATTAAGACCTGGTGACTGTAGAGGCCATTTGAGTATAGTGAACTCATTGTCATGTTCAAGAAACCATTCTGAGATGATTTGCGCTTTGTAACAAGGCGCGTTATCCTGCTGGAAGGAGCCATCAGAAAATGAGTACACTGTGGTCATAAAGGGATGGACATGGTCAGCAACAATACTCAGGTAGACTGTGGTGTTGACAGCTGGTACTAATGGTCCCAAAGTGTGTCAAGAAAATATCCCCCACAACAATACACCACAACCACCAGTGTGAACCGTTGATACAGGGCAGGATGGACCCATGCTTTTATGTTGTTGATGCCAAATTCTAACCCGACCATCCGAATGTCCAGCAGAAATTGACACTCATTAGACCAGGCAACGTTTACCCAATCTTCTATTGTCCAATTTTGATGAGCCTGTGTGAATTGTAGCCTCAGTTTTCTGTTCTTAGCTGACAAGAGTGGCACCCGCTGTGGTTTTCTGCTGCTGTAGCTCATCCGCCTCAAGGTTGCACTTGTTACATTCAGAGATGCTCTTCTGCATACCTCAGTTGTAGCAAGTGGTTTTTTGAGTTACTGTTGCCTTTCTATCAGCTGGTATCAGTCTGGCCATTCTCCTCTAACCTCTGGCATCAACAAGGCTGAACAAGAATATTTTCTCTTTGTCGGACCATTCTCTGTAAACCCTAGAAATGGTTGTGTGTGAAAATCCCAGT